ATTCAAGGAATGACCTTCCACCTTTTGCTAAGATGCAATCACATCTTTTAAAAGGAAAGAGAGTGAGGAAGAAATACATTGAGACTCCATCTTGCTCCTCGTAGATGGTGTCTATCTGTGGCTAAATTCACATGCACTTTTGGAAACCAGATGGATTCACCAGCAGATGACATCAGGCATATCAGTGTAACTGCATGTGCAGGTCAAGCTGCTTGGACAGTTTTACCTGGTTTCCCTTGGTAATGATGAGGTCCAGCAAAACAGACGTTACAAGGTTCTACAGCTGGACTAACCACTGAAGACTAAATTTAGAGTACTGTGCAGGAACTTCAAACTTCATCCAGGACCTCATATATGTCCTGGCTTTCACGTGTCATACAAGGTTACAGCCTTTAAATACCTTCTTGGAGCAGGGCCAGTGTTAGAAGCAGACAGTGTGCCAGGGTAACCTGCCACACTGTAGATACATCCACCCATCCAGCACTGTTTGAAGTTGCAATGGCTGGAAGCAAACAGCCCTGGCAGTGGCCCATGACAAGAACACTGTTCTGTACATCAGGCTGTAGAAAAAAGGTTGAGAAACACTTCAAAAGGCCAGCATTAAAGAAGAGACAGAAAGATTTTAGTTTTGGAGACTACATGGAAGCTCTGCCTTGTGGTGAACAACTCTAACTATAATGACCTGCACGTTAGAATGCATTATTATAATTAAAGGTCATAGTATGTAGCAATCATTGTTTACTGTTCTTTAAAATTATGCTTTACTTTTTAGACTTAAAGGAATTATTTCTTATCTTGTGCAATTCTTCAAGAAGACAAATACACACTTGAGCTAAACATAATGCATATTAACTCAGCCTACCATACATCCAGAGGGACTTGAGGTGTCCAACTTTCTATCATAAATTTCATCTGGTAGAAAGAAAGAAAACTAACTGCTCGCAATTAGTAGGTATCTGGACAAAATGGGCACATGTGTTGTTCTTGTTACCTCATTTTAATGCATCTCCTAGGCATTTATGATCAGTAGCATATATTTCTATCTGGGAAATTCCACAAAGGAGTTTCTACATATTAGGAGTGCCTCTTGCAATGCAGACATAACAAACCATTTATTAATCCAGGTAAAATAATGGCACTATAAGTATGACTGGTTAGCTCAAAAACAGGTTAGCCTGTTTTCCCATACTATATTATGATAACCTTGTTATCCAAATGCAGAAGAGACAAAATAATTTAAAAGGAGCAGGCTAGCTGTATTTAATGAAATAAATAATGAAGAAGAGATAAAGCTATATAATAACTTTTCATAATAAAATATATGGTACAGTAAGTAGCAACAACAAAAGAATCAGCAATAAAAAAATCTCAGTGCTACAGAGACTTCACCATGGTCATACAAAAACGCAGCAGGCTCACACATAAGTAATGATCTAAAATAATTGATGTGTGCACATAACTATTTGAATTCATAGAACCACATTTTTGCAGTGCATTTGCTGATGAATACTCTCTGTATTCAGCCCAGTTAAGTTAAACTTATGCATATACTTTTGCAGCTACACAAAATTTCACAAACTTCAGTTTAGCCCTAAATGGTTGTAGAAATTTCTGCTACTGTGAATGGCTAGGTCTTACTTGAGGATCTGTTCCCTAATATAAGCTTAATAAAAGTATATATATAAAGTGTATATATATGTACACATATACATACACATGTACATATATCCATTTAACATTATTAAAACCCCTTTTGCCCTTGCACAACAAATTTTCAGTGAGTAGTAAAACATTTTGGATCAGATTTTGTGGTTGTTACAATTTGGAAACTCCCTCCACTGCACTCAGCTCATGATCTTTCTGTAAAAAGAGATTACCACGCATACTCACTGCCTGAACTGAGGATTCAAAGTAACGCTGTCCACTGAAATGTCATACTTGTCTTAAGGGTGCTACTAATGCCAGTTTTAAAATTCATATTCTGAAGTAACTGAACCAAGCATTCTTTAAATAATATACTGTAGTTGTTCACAGGGTTATCTAATCCCTGGTTACTTATCAGTCTTTTCAGGCAAGAAAACTTGATTTATTAGTAAGAAAAACAAACCCTATAGTTCTTACAAATCACTAATTACATCCTCTGTGCCCATAGGCCTGATGTAAGTATCCCTGTTTTGACATCCAAGCTTTTTTGCAGAATGAGACCACTATTTAAGCAAACTCCCTATAGCAGAAGCATATAATTGCTTCAAATAGATATGGACAAGATGAATATTCTGAAAATTTAACTTCCACAAAGAAGTAAGCATTTTCAGAAAAGATTTCCCTATTAGCTGTCATGTTTTCAAAGAAAACATAATGGAAAACCTACCATTTTTATCTCAACAGCTTCTTCTGATCAAAATTCTGCAGCAGACACAAAATTATCAATCAGCCAAGAGATCTTAGCTCCGTTCCTTTGCCTCTGAGTTTCACAGTCTTGACTATAGCAAGAGAATAACATCTTGTGCAGGTTAAATGGGACATCGTAGAAGTTGGAGGAAGCATAATGTATTTCTTCCTCCAGTACTAGCCCAATAATTGAAATATATTTCCCCTCACTTAGAAATCAGATATTTTATTCAGCAACTCATCTTACAAATCTCTAACAAATTCTGTTTATCCCAGGATTGTTTTCTTCCTGAAGTGTTTACTCTATATTTAATAATCTTTACTGCATATCTAATTAATCATATACTTAAATGAACTCTAAACATCAACATGAGTTTCACTAGGACAAAAAGAGAAGACAAATCTGCATATTGTTGGTAATACAGAGTGGGCAGGATGACAGCGAGTGTGAAAGAATGTATTGATGTGGGGGAAGATTCTGGCCTCTTGAAATTTGTAAAGAATGAGACGGTTTTGATTGTCATCTCAATTCATTATAGATTTTTAACACTTTTCAATAAATTTTTCTTGCATCTGAGTTGGAACTGATTCAAATTGGAAACTGAACATTAGGCTATGTTCTTGTCTTAGCTATAAATGAGTTTCACATTAAGACTCCTCCCCATCTCTGCCAAGCTTATTTGTGTATTTGCAAGAGTGATGGCAAAAGCAACAACCTAACTCAGGCAAAAGAGCCTGTGTGTCTGTCAGTATTTGGGTGACAGGCATATAAAGGGTTTATTAGAACAATCTGCCCTGAAGCAAAAGAAGATACTGTTCATATCAGCCAATTTGGGACCCACTGTGCAACTCAAAGTACTGAGCAAATCCAGCACTGGGGTTCATACACAGGAGGAGACTACAGCTAGGCAGAACATTTTCCATAAAATGCAAGTTTGTGAGAAAGAAGTATTCTGTACAGACAAAGTTTCTCATAAAGATTTCATGGAGAAGGTGTTGGGATACACGGTTTGCTTAATGACCATGAGAAAGACTAACAATCTCCCATTTAGTCTCCCTTTGTTCTACCCGCCAAAACTTAGACACTTAAGTTACAAAAAATTACAAGATTTTATTTTTACTCCACAAGCAATGAAGATAGGAGATAAAACCTTAGCATGATTAAATGGTGTTCTCTAGATATCAGTCATATTATCCCTTTCTAAGTATGCCTAAGGATTTTAACACTCCTGTTTCAAAGCCCTGTAATAAAATGTGCCCATTCAAAGTACATCTGTATTGTCAGGCTACTGAAAGCTAGTGACTAGCATTAATAGTCTTTGGATCCAGTACTCACATCCTATTATTACTGCTGTAAAAGTGGTAAGCCAGTTGGTCATCAGATTAAAAAAAAAAAAAACAAAAAACCAAAAGGACTTGTGACCAGTAAGATCAATGGGTGAAGTCTGTGACATGTGCCATTTCTTCACCCTCCCTCCTGATGTAGGCCCTCATGAAAAACACCATCCTAGAAAGCTAGCTAACTTAATCTAGAAGATCTGTCTTTATCTACAAAATAACACACTTGCTTCTCCTCACCCACATAATAGAAACTACAGTGAAAAGCCCTCAGGAGATTACAGCTTCTTACAGCAAACTTGTCAGTTTTAATTCAGGTTAGGTGCTGCATAACACAACCATGAAGAAAGCAAATCAGTTCCTTTCAGATGTTGATAATTCACTGGTAGGAATTTTCTTGGCCATACACACTTAACACTCATACATATTAAATCTTGTCCCAGCTTTGGTGAGAAAGAGTTAATTTTCTTCCTACTAGCTGGTATAGTGCTGTGTTTTGGATTAAATATGAGAATAGTATTGATATTATACTGATGTTTTAGTTGATGCTAAGCAGTGCTTACCCCAAGTTAATGATTTTTCAGTTTCCCAGGCTCTGCTGGTGAGCGGGTGCACAAATGGCTGGAAGGGAGCAAGCCCAGGGCAGCTGACCCAAACTGGCCAAAGGGATATTCTGCACCACAGAGAATATTGCCCAGTACATAAACTGAGGGGAGCTGGCCAGAAACTGACAGTCAGTCACTGGCTGTGAGATACTTAGTTGCCAACTGGGTTTAAACCACGAAAATTCTACAGATACATAAAAGATGTTATGAGATGGCCATCTGTAAACATACATACATATATATCTCCATATTTATATATATATATATATATATTTATATGTACATATATATATATCTATCATATTATATACATACTTTAATACTTTTTTTTTATTTCAAGTCGGTAATGTAGACAGTTCTCAATAAATGGATTGATAATTCATGTCTGATGGAGAACTACACCGTTTTTGCCTGTGTGTCAGCACAATAAATTTGCCTATACAGATGTATTCACCCATGTACATCCACATACACTTAATGTACGTATGCATCATATATGTGTAACAGAGCATACAAATCTTTGTATGGCATTTAAGTAATGATCTGACAAACATTAGACACACCACATTAAGTGCTTAGCTGGGAATAACCTTTAGTTGGGTCTCACAAATCTTTTCCTTTTCTGAACTACATGCTTCATATCTGGACGATGTGGAAGCATCTTACCTTGCTTCCATTTTCTCTTGCCTCCCGTTCCATCTTGAGATCAGAAATTAGGAGAGTCTTGTATTTGTTCTTTCCATTACTGCTGTGATCATCTAGTCTGTATTCTGAAGTCAGCTGAGCAGAGAGGGGACTGTCACTCAGGTTCAGAGGCTGCTCATCCTGCTCCAGATTTGTTTTGCCATTACTGTTGGTTTCTGCCATCTCCCTGCAGTGTGTTCCCCCTGAAGCATTGGAACTGTGTCCCACGGTCTCATTGCCATTAAAACTCTCTGCGGCTGAATCATCTATTAAAAAAGATATATTTTTGGTCACATGCCACATAATCATCTCTGTCCAGTTTAAACATAATTTATTTATTCATCATGTTTTTTTTCAAAACAATGAAAACTGTTTCTATTACTAGCACCAGCACATTTCTGCAAAAAGCACACACACACACTCCACGTTTTCAAGTAAAAGCTTTAAGTAAATCCATAAAATACTACTAAATAAAGGGAAATTACCTGGGCTGACACTTTAGTACCACTGTGTACATAAAAGACAATCACAAAGGATTTTTTGTGATTGATAAAGTCTGTCTTGATCAATCTGTCTGTCCATATGCCTATGGATCTATTTAGATTCTTATATCACACTCCTTAGTGCACTATTATATATTTCTGAAATCAACAGAGGTGCACATGGTACTGAGAGAGAATCTGAATCTCAGGTTAAGTGTGCAGAACAGCAGGTGTCATATCCATAAACATCCTCTTGCAGAGGTACGGTGTAAATACTTCTGATGTGTTCACTGCTGGCAGCAGAGATTATACTAGAAGAGCTGATTCCAGAAACAAAGATCCTGTCTTCATTTTGTTCAGGTGCCCATTCACTTCTTTCATTCATTGTGTGTCATAATATACTCAAAAATACTGATAAATAGTGGGCAAAACTATAAACCTGAAAGCTCCATCCGAATACCTTGGATGTGTCATTGTTACCCTTAAGATTTTACATCTGGATTGTATGATTAAAATATGTCTCTTCACATACTTACGGATTTGTGTATCCTGTTCTTGTCAGTACAGGAATTCACCACCTGTGCTTCCACTCAGCCCTTCTTTACTTTTAAACAATCTTTTGGCCAACATTTTATTTTTCAAAGGATTAAATGACAGCAGAATTTGGCACTCGATTTGCCCTCTTCTTGTTCTCTAAAGCACCTCTTTTTTGGCAATCTACAGAGTTTTGCTAATGGTGCAAACACCTGCCCAGAGCTCTACAAGCATTCCCTTATTGCAGACTATGAAGCTGGAAACAAAACTGGGGAGTCAGTAGTCAGGAATGTAGATTGAAACTGGAGATACAGAATGAGATGGACCTTAATATATTAGCACATTAATATACCATCTTTTTTGGGCCCTTCTAGACAACTTCCATGGAAATGAAGCAAACACATTTATCCACACAAAGAATTAAAAAAAAAAAAATCAGGACATGTCCTTTAGCAGATGTGCTCAGAAGTACTCATTGCTTTAACTACATGATTAATCAAATTGTTGACTCACCATCATTATTACAGTAAAAAACAACTATTCACCACTCTCAGATGAGATTTTTAAAAGAGGAGAAAATACTGGATAAATGGGTAGTGATCTAATTCATTTAAATACTTAGAAAGCCAGAGACAAAAAAAAAAAAAAAAGAAAGCTTAGAAAGCTATCATACATTGTTCTCTTACTTGCTGCACTCAAAAAACATTTTTATGCCATAAATATATACAGGACTGGGGATGTAGTATGAACATATTTTTAAAAATTTCTTTGTTTTGTAAACCTGTAAAAAAATCTAATTTCATAACAATACAAATTAAGAGTCATAATTTATATAATTTTACTTAAGGAACATTTTTTGGGTTTTGTTGTTCTAAAACAGCTGTATAATTAATAGCTACAATAAAAAAAAAAGACCCCTATGCTTTGGTATGTATCACTTTTACATTACCTCTTGGGAATACCAATGTAAGTACAATAAAAGACATAACATTCCTAAAATAAGACTTTCAAATATGTGCACCAAACAAACTTGTAACAGAGCAATGCTACTTGAGGATTTCAGGTACGTAGGTGAATAAGAGGAGCAGGATTTATCCTTAATAAACTTTCTATCACGCTTCAAGACTTATATCTTCAAGGCCAGAACACAAAAAAAAGGCTAAAATTCTAAACATACTTTCAGAAATAAATAAACAGTTTTAATATTCCAAAATATAAAATGGAATTCTAATATAGAGTCTTTATTTTTTAAAAATAGACACATTTCCAACTTATTTTAAAAGCTCTGAGATAACAGAAGAAAATCCAGATATGTTTTTAACAGAGAAGCTCTTTGATTACTGTTGTATTTAGGACTGTAAAGAGATAATTGGCTTTTTGATTAACAGTTTAAAAAGTGACAGTTTCAAATTAATTAAATCAGTTACTGAATGGGTCACTGAGTGAGGGGTGCTCTTCCCTTTGAAGGGCTCAGAAAATTCCCTGCTGTTGGCCGCATGGACAGAAATGAGTAATCAGAGGATACAAAGAACCACCTAAAAGGTGGGGCCACTGCCTACCCAGCAGCACACAAGTCTGGTCCCTCAGGAACTTCTGTGTGCTGGCACTCAAGGGTCCCAACTCATGCAGTGCAGAGGAACCACTACCAGGACACAGACAGCTGGATGGGAATGATGAGAGCTAGATCCAGGAACAGCCAGCTCTCAAGCACAGCTGTTAGTTTTGCCTAGAAATAATGCTTTTATTTCTTTTTTTGGTGCCCTGTGTGATGTATGGTTGACAACTAAATCTTAAAAATGTGTGAGAATGCTACAATGCGGAAGAAAAAACAATCTTATCTTTGTTCTAAAACACGACCAGAAGAATTCCTATGTTGAGTAAATGTGATCAAACATTATAATACTCTGAAACAATAGAAAAGTTTTTATAAGATTTTTGCTTTTCTTAGCAAAAGCTTAGTTGCTTGATGGCTAATCCCGGTTTCCACTATAAAGTCAAATATCTTTTTTTACAATCATTTAACCTTGCTTGTTAGAGATGGGATCTTGTTTGTCAAGATAATGGTCAAGAGAATGGCTACAATGTGAATGGTATAAATAACATTTTTGACAAGTAAACAGAAATATGTATTTCCATAAAAGAGATGAAGAAAAACCACAAAGTGGTTTAGCAATAGTTTCTTAACAGATGTTTCCACGGTAACCAGATTACAAGTTTTAGTAACCTTGGATAGCTGCTCCCTGGGCAGCTATCTATTTTTGCTAGAATAAGGCTACTTTAAAGCAAGAGTTTCTCAGAAGGTATCTGATATATAAACACAGAACACATCTGGAATGACTTTAGGGTTTAGGGGAAAAGGCAAGAGGGTCTCACCCAGGAGAGGAAAGTGATGGTCATCCTTTGATACAGGCAACCACAGCCCAAATACCACCTACAAGCACTCATGACTTGCTCATGGATGCCAAGAGGCAAGAACAGATCTGTGGAGACCTGTCCCTCAGACCACATTCCCCAGTGGCCACTGCCTCTGTCAGGGGCAGCAGGTGAGACCTCATCTCCCCACTGTGTCTGGTGCAGCTGGTGCCTGGGGCTGCCCCTAAAACAGAGACAGCATTGGGACCAGCAGCTTGCTTGCAGTTTTCTCACCTTGAAATATCACAACACCTCAGCAACAATGAACTGCTAATGACAAAAGCCTCTTCTCTTACCAACAATTTTTTCCCCTCCATCCAGCAGAGGCAGAGGCACGGTGGCTTGGGGAGAGCTTGGGGAAGAAAGTGCATTGTCCAGCTATGGCCAGTGGCCCCTGCTCCTTGTTGGGAACTCTGTAGAGATGAGGTCCACCCCAGCCTGGCACACGTGGGGCAGCAGCCATGAACCCACTGCAGAGCTGCCCTCCCACAGGAGGCTCAGCAAACCACAGCATTCCTCTCTGGGTTCACTTTGGCCCCACTGCCAGTCAGAGGGCACTCCTTTCCCAAAGTATAAAACTCTACTGAGCGCAGTATAAAACTCCACTGAGGCAAGGGCAGCACATTTTCAAATCCTGTATCTTGTTTGCATCACCACTGCAGGGTGAATTTTATGGAAAGACCTCCACAGAAGCCTGCCACAGGCACCGGGAGCTGAGAAGGGAGGGAGCAAAGGGGCCCCATACCTTGCATTGGGCATTGGGACAGTCATAAAAGAGGCTGTAGGATGAGCTCACATCTTCATTACCACCCAGGACAGCTTTTATCCACAAATATCAGCCATGACAGAAAATCAACCATCAAATGCTGCTTGCTCAGTGCAAGACATGTCTTTGGGAACTGCAGCTTTCAAACCCTTACCCCAGAATACTGGAAGACTGGAAGTACATCTAAGGCTTACTTAAGCCTGAAAAGTGAGAGTCTGGCTGCAAAATACATATTCATTTCTAAAAATAGTCAACTGGGGCCTCCTTCACCTATGCAGAGATTCTCTTCCAGGGATTAAAGAGCATCACCCCTCAGCAAAACACTCCAAGAGCAGAGGGAAGGTACTTTTGGATCAGGCAGAAGCCACTTTCTTGCTGAATCATAGGGAATTCTTTAGGCTTAGGCACAGACTTCTCACTCATGGATCAATATTTCCTAAACCTCTTGATGCCAACACCTCCTTCTTCCACCTTGCACACTGCTCCACACTGATCCTGTGCTCTGGTCTGAATAACATTCTTTGGACACCATTAGTCCAAAGAGTCTCTGTATCAGAGGTTATCGATAGAGCATGGGGTAATGGCTTTAAACTGAAGGAGAATAGGTATAAATTAGATATTAGGAAGAAATGCTTTACCGAGGGACTGTAAAAAGTTGCCATGAGAAATTGTAGATGCCACATCTCTGGGAGTGATTAAGGGCACTTTGGAGGGTGCCCTGGGCAACCTGGTCTAGTGGAATCCTGCTCTACAGCTCTATGATTCTAATTATCAAAACAAGATCTACAGTAATATTTTTACTTCAAGTTAGTGTCTTATCACATTGCATTACAGCTTCCAGTTCGTCCTTCCAGATCCCACTCAGACCAGCAAGATACAAAGTGACATCCAGTTTTATTTTTGAACACATGAGAATTCCAGATTCCTGCTCTGAACTTTCCAAGCTCATTGCAGTCATCACTGTGTTAGACTTTCTCCCTGCTTTTGAAGGAAATTTGGAAATGGTGGAAGAAAAGAGGGCCACACCTGCAGACAGACACTGATGCCTGCAAACTCCAAGGTAGCAGGCACT